TTCCATGAAGTCAAGAGATATCTCGAAGCCCAAGATTATCCTGAGGGTGCTTCAGTCAATGATAATAAGTTCCTAAGAAGGTTCTCCGCCAAGTTCTTCCTCAGTAATGGGATCCTCTACAAGCACAATCACGATTCTACCTTGCTTCGGTGCATAGACAAGAGTGAGGCAGAAAAGATTATGGCTGATTTGAATTAAGGTACTTTCAGCACCCATTCTAGTGGGCACACAATGGCTAAAAAGATCCTATGGGCATGAAACTATTTGTCAAATATGGAAGCAGACTATTATCAGCATTCATGGACTTGTCACAAGTGCCAGATCTATGCTGACAAGGTGCATGTTCCTCCAATTCCTCTGAATGTCTTGATTGCTCCTTGGCTCTTCTAATGGGCACCACTTCATCCTGGTTCCCATTGATTATTTCATGAAGTGGGTCGAGGCAACTTCATTTTCTTCTGTTACCAAGAAAATTGTGGCCCGTTTCATCAGACATAACCTTATATGTTGGTACGGTATTCTAGAAAGAATAATTACAAATAATGGTACCAATATCAATAACACCATGATCACCAAGCTCTGCATGCAATTTAAGACCCAACATCATAACTCTTCTCCTTACCGGCCGAAGATGAATGGCTCTGTAGAAGCTGCTAATAAAAACATCAAGAAGATCATACAGAAGATGACTTTGACATATAAAGACTGGCATGAGATGTTACCATTTTCCCTTCATGATTATCGTACCACGGTGCACACATCAACAGGGGCAACTCCTTTCTCTCTGGTGTATGGTATGGAAGCTGTCCTACCCATAGAAGTCCAGATCCCTTCCTTGAGAATCATGAAGGATGCAGGGTTGAGCAAAGATGAATGGGGTCAGACTCGACTTAACCAATTAAACCTAATTGATGAGAAGCGGCTCACGAATGTTTTCCATGGTCAGATGTCCCAAAAGCGTATGATCAAAGCCTTTAACAAGAAGGTCAGACGTTAAGTATATCAGGTTGGTGATTTAGTAATCAAGCCCATCATACTGCCATAAGGTGATCCCAAGGGAAAATGGAATCCCACATACGAATGGACGTTTGTGATCAAGAACATATTTTCTGATGGGGCCATGATCTTAACCACTATGGACGGTGACGACCTTCTGCACCCTGTAAACGTGAACATAGTTAAAAGATACTACACATGAACAAAGACCCGCTAGGTTGAATAGCCTAGGAAAAAATAAGGGCATCCCCGCGAACCAAGAGGGTTCAGGAAAAAATTAGGGATATACATAAAAAATCTATAAACCCGGTAAGTCGAAAACCTGAAAAGGCGGCTTGAGAAAAAAAGGGTATCCCGGTGGACTGAAAACCCGAAAGGGAGGTCCAGGAAAAAGTTAGGGATTCAAAGCGTATAACTATGTCCCATTGGATCACCTTACTACCAATCTTCAATATCAACTATCAAGCTCAAGCAATACTAATCAATCCAATCAGCTTCGGACAAGCAGCAAAAGAGATGAGAAGCTCAAAGACATAAAGACAATAGTAGAATGGAAACCCAATGGGATTATTGCACATAGTTGTTTTTCTTTGTATAGTTTTCAGTTTCTACGACGGAATTCTCTTACTAGGATGTCTGTTTCTTTGTACAAAAACGCTTATTCAAATTAATACAAAGCTATCTCTTTGAAAGTGCAAAACTTCTGTTTTTATTTTTCTGTTTTGTTTGCAAAATGTCCAGTGATTATTTTTGAACATATGCATTTGAATGTAATTACCGTTACAAATATACACATAAACAAAAAGACAGTTATTAATGGCTTTAAGAAACGGGACAATGTCTAAAGGCCATCCACGAAATCCCCACAGATACCTTTTCCAACATGTATAGAGGCAGGGACATCCTACTACAAGGGAACTGTCATATTCTCAGCATACCGCCTAATGGTGTCAGGAGTTCTCATATCCCCGGAAGAGCAAGAATCTCTAACTACTGTTCAGACATCTAAAAATTCCCTAGTGAAGTCGCCAAGCTTCTCAGGATTCCCCAGCAGGGTTTCAACAAAATCCCCAAACAATGCATGGAGTTTCTCTTCCCCAACATAGTTTATTTCTCTAACAATGGAAATCTATTTCCCGGTATTCAACTTCAAACAAAATCTGAAGACATACATTCTTCATTGCTAACAACAATTAGGGATTCATTTTCCCTAGTTCAACAATAGTGCAATAGAACAACCGACACGTTCATACATTGCACTCATGCATTATTTTACAAACATCATATCATATGCAACACAAATTCATATATCACAATCTCATTTATTTTAAGAGCATTGTGCAATTCATACATCATGACATCGCATGAAACCGGTTTTACCTTTTAAGGATAAATTGGAAGACAAACAAACACTATCAACTTATACAACAGGTCAAAGTTTATTACCCGAAACCAGAAGGGAAAACTATCTACACGGCTAAGTGGTATGAACTCCCGCTGCAAGACGAGTTTACCAACAAATATAACAGGCCACAGGTTAAGGGCCGGAAACCAGACGAGGAACTATCTATGTGACCAAATGTTGCCAAGTTCTAGATTAATACCTGTAACAAGCCAGGAGAAGTATCTATGGATGACTGATTGTAGATTAATACCTGTAACAAGCCAGGAAAACTATCTACATAAGGAGATTGAAGATTAATACCTGTAACAAGCCAGGAAAACTATCTTTCTTTCTCAGGTCAGAGATTAATACCTGAAACCAGACAGGACAGCTATCTCAACGATCGACAAAAACAAGTTCCAGATTAATACCTGTAACAAGCCAGGAGAACTATCTATGGACGACTGATTGTAGTGTAATACTTGTAACAAGCCAAGAAAACTATCTACATGAGAAGATTGAAGATTAATACCTGTAACAAGTCAGGAAAACTATCTTTCTTTCTCAGGTCAGAGATTAATACTTGAAATCAGCCAGGACAACTATCTCAACGACCGAAAATTTTCAAGTTCCAAATTAATACTTGAAACCAGACAGGACAACTATATGTGAACATCTAATTTGTAGATTAAAACCTGAAACCAAACAGGAAAACTATCTACACGACCAGATGAAGCAATCTTACACGGGTTTTCTTCTCATGATGTCCAGATGCAGTCTAACACGGACTCATCCTGAAGCAATCTTACACGGGCTCCTTCTCAACTTTCCAGATGCAGTCTAACACAAACTCATCCTGAAGCATCCCCACACAGGCTCCTTCTCAAATATCTCCAGATATAGTCTAACACGGAATCATCCTGAAACAGCCTTACACAGGCTCTTTCTAATACATTTTCAAGTAACGGTTAATTCCATTATCCCCAGCAAGTTACTGTGAAGCCTGGATTTCAATCAGAAAACAACAAACTTTTATCTCTCCAGTATAGAGATAACTCCTCAGTAGAGCCTTGGACAACTGAAGTTGCTAGACTCTATTCCACACAGAGTTTTCCTCAAGTAGGAGAATAACAGAAACCCACATCCCCCAGCAGAGTTTGGCGTACCCCAAATTTTCCCTACCCCTGCAATCATAATTTCAAGATTTAAAATAAAAGAAATGTTTAATTAAAGATTGTACAACAGTGGCTGATGACCCATCTTTATCCAAGTCAACTAGGGGGTGTATTTTAATTCAGGAGAGTGGAGCTTTCTAAATCAGAGACTCATGTATCCGTAGGCCAATTTACGAAGCATGTTGGCCAATGGCCCATGCAATTCGAAAATGGAACATTATTCAAATAACTGTTATGTCCTCAATTCTTAAAACCAAGTTAAGTTCAAGTTGTTATTAGTTGAAATTAAAATTAAGGTCTATTTAATAATGGTTGTTAATAAAAAAGGAGGTGAAGTTGCAATTATAAGCTTATTTACAATTTGCATTGGCCCACTTCTTTGTTTTCCAAACAACAAAAGAGGGGGTGTAATTTTAAGTTGCAGGCCCAAAGAAATTGAACAGCCCATTTGTTGCTTTATTGTTTTAAGAAATTATTATTAAAATTGTTGTTTTTATTTTAATAAAAAAAGAATAGATAAGATAAAGTATGGTCGTCACTGTTAATTGTTTATTTCACAACATTGTATTAAATATTATTTATAGATTTTTTTTATAAAAAAAGTTTGTTTAAGGCAATTAACATGGGGTTATGGAAAAGGCCAATTGGGCCTGGTTAATAAAAAACCTTTTTGCTGTAATAAAAAAACAAAAGGAATAATGCTGTCATTACTGGATACAAATCAAGTAAAAAAAGCTAAGGCCCAATCAATAAAAAAGCACAAGGCCCAATTAAACAAAAAACAGCCACAGTTTTAATCAATCCAAAATTTATGCGCAATTCTTGCAATTATCTGGTACTGTAGAGATCATGATTAAAACACATTAGAAATCAAATATTAAATTAAAGAGTACAAACCCTAAAACAATTAAATCTCTATATCAAATCTCAAAAAAAAAAAAAAAAAAATATATATATATATATATATATATATATATATATATATATATATATATATATATATATATATATATATATATATATATATATATATATATATATATATATATATATATATATATATATATATATATATATATATATATATATATATATATATATATATTACAACAAATCAGAATCAATTGCAACAACACTGAATCCCTAATTTATACGAATCTCTGCTAATTGTAACAACAAATTAAGCTAACCCTAATCCCTAAATCAACCTATAAATACGAACAAGAGAATACAGAGACGGGAGGGGGATTCAAAAAGAAATAACATAAGATTAAAGAGGGGAATACAGAGGAGAAAATTCAATACAAAACGAAGATCGATATACAGAAGAGGGAGGACAGAAGAACCGAACGAAGAACTAAGAATACGTCATCTCACGTTGAAGACCAAAAATTGATGCAATTAGGGTTTCAATATCCGAAACCCTAATTTCTAGCCGCTAATCACTAATTGTCGCTGCTTCCACCGTTCACCACCATCCTGCAACCACGAAACACCATTGCGTCGGATATTGCAGAAATGACCATGCCTCTGTCTCCACCATGATACAACATCGGTGATGTTCTAAAGCTCCGATCGCACTCCTCCATCACTGGCGAGCTTCTGTCAGCAACCGTCGACACTCTCCTCACATCATCGCTACCCATTAGGCTGCTAATTCCTTTTTTCGTTCTCTGATCTAGGGATGGAGCTTGTTGTTTATTTGGATATGATATTGTTTTATTGTAAGATAAAAACAATGAATGTGGTTGGTGTGTTTTTGAGAATGATGAAGAAAGAGATAGCGTGAGAGAGAGAGAGAGAGGAGAAGCAATTAAAAAAGCCAAGATCTGAAAACTACCTTTTCTCTATTCTATTTCTATATCATATATTTTCCTTTTATTTTTATTTTTTCAATAGACCCCTGCCAAGTGTCATATATTTGTTAGTTGATCAAAGGAAATTATCTTCCCTGATTATGTGAACCAGGTATGCCGCCTCATTGTATATGTATGTGTCCTTTTTTTATATATTTCTTTATTATTGTTGTTATTATAATCCTATTTTAATTACTTAGTTTTAAGGTTTTGAGTTGGGCCTAACAAAGGGGCCTTGACCATTACTATGTCTACTCCATGCATCTCTTTTAGCACCCCAACCCATTTATTTAGTCTCATTTTACTAATCTAATTATTTCATGTGAATTTTTTTATCACTAAATTTTGTTTTTATTAGTTCTAATGATTCATTAAATCTTAGTTAATTTAATTCAAACTTCTTCTTAAAATAATTAATTCAAACCTTTTAGGATATCCATATTCGAGTAATTAAATTGACCAACATATCATCTACCGGTTTATTATACTAAATCAAACAATTGAAATCCACACAACTCGCTAAATTCACCCATGAGCGACACGTGGCCAATATCTAGCCACGTGGTGAGGAAGACTATATCAGGCTTCCTCCGCATCCTTCATGGCGACCAACACATGGTCAATATCTGGCCACGTGGTGAGGAAGACTATATCATACTTCCTCCACATCCTTCATATCAAGAGACACATGGTCAATACCTGATCACGTGATGAGGAGACTGTATCAGACTTCCCATTCTGTCTCATACCATATTTCAATCCACCAAATCAATTAATTCAAAACAGCTAACCAACATCAAATTATTTTCGACTAACATAATTGAAATCAAGATCATTTTCGAAAAAGATTAAGGATAATTTTTTTCAAATTAACTGCAAACTGCGTCTACAATTACTCAACTTACAACCCAGACAAGGTTCATGGTTAATTCAAAAGCAATTCTATGCAATCTTATAAAAAACACCAACCAACAATACGAACTACGAATTGGGACTCTGATTCCTCATAAGAGGATACATAGGCATATGATCAAAAATCGTAGCGGGTTCCCCTATTAAAAATTAAAACCTTTTTTCCCATATTAAAAATTAAAACATTTTTTCCCCTATTAAAAATTAAACCACTTTCCCCTATTAAAATTTAAAACCCTATTTCACCACAAACTTAAACCTAAAACCTAATATCCTTGTGAACAAGGTAGATGAAAGGTGCCTAACACCTTCCTTTCGTCTAAAGAAGTCTGAAACCTAGAATCTCTGTCTACAAATTAGGGTTTTCTATTAGATTCCCTTCCCTAGAATAAAAACTAATAGTGGCGACTCTGATCAAAAACCAGTCGCAATAGTTGGCGACTCTGCTGGGGAATTCGACTTTAGGTTTTAGGGTTTTTACTTTGGGGTTATTTATTTATTTATTTATTTATTTATTACATTATTTATTTATTAAATTATTTATTTATTGCATTTATTTATTTATTGTAAATTCTTTTTATCATATATTTATTGTATGGCGGGAATTTTTATTTCAAAAAAAAATATTTTCAATAACCCTTAGAAAGAAGGTTCGTCTATTAGCTTAGGGGGTACATCATCCCTGCGAGTTTATGTGACGACTTCACCTAGAGTCGGTGGACTTCTAAAAAAGGAATACTTATCGAGAGATATCCTCTTGACGAGTAGGACTATGGAAGGTCACCCATGACTCTTTGTAATGAACTTAACCTAAAATCTCATGACGAAACCTTTCACGACTTGGAGACGAAAGTTTCGGTCCATAAAGAGGCTCCACTTAAGGGAGGCCCTTGTGCCTTTTCCCTCTGGTGTTATTCATGATACCCTTAAGGAAACCACCTTTTGGGAGGTATGATCGGTGGATCTGGAACTGACTGTTTAACGCTGGTTCGCGAAATGTCGCGGAAGCAAGAGTCGCCACCGTCTTTTATTTTCTCCAAATGGAAAGGACAAAAGCACAGAAAAATTCCTTATAGAGATTGCTCTCGGTTCGGGAGGTAGGTTATAGAAAGGGAAGGTGTTAGCACCCTTTCTATCCATGGTTATCCATGGGCTCTTAGATACTTGCTCATTGTGTTTTCAAAAATGTTTGTTTGCTTTTCAACTGTGGGTTTTAAAAAGTTTCTTTGAAAATTCCAGTTCGACTCTTGTATCGGTCCTCAAGAGTGTTTGAAAAATTGCTTTCGAAAGCTTTTTGAAAATGTGTTGGTGTGAAAAGTATTTTTGATTTGTCTTTGAAATTAGAGCAAGTATCTAGAGTCGTCTACCTACCCTAAGGAATTCGTCTGTGTAGATGTCCTTTAAAGTAGTGCCATCCCACCATTGAGAGGTAGGTAGCACCACCGTTGGAGGTGTTCGGGTCAATTCGAGGTTCGGGACATGGTGATCACCGGAGCAATAGGAAGATACCTTAGAAGCTACCCTCATGCCAGGTTCCCGGATCATGAGGACTTACTAAGACATCCTCTACTCGACGATCACCTTTCGGGGCAAGGCAACAGTGAGGCGTACCCTAGGGGTGGTGTATGCGATTTGTGTGTCGTTTTCATTTGCATTTATCTTGTCATGTTATTGGTGTTCTACGCTTGTTTTTATTTTTGTCCATACATTCTTTCATGCCTTTGGTTAACAGTTAAAAAATTGCGGAAAGTAAATTCTAAGCTATTACAAAAGGCGCGGGTCCACATCGCCAAAATTAAACCAGGACCCGATTTGACAGAAAAATAAAGAAAAGAAAAGTGCGAGTTAAAAGGTTACATGGCCTTGGGAGAGATACATAAATATTATAAAGGAATAAAATAAATATGCGAATAAGAATTAAATCGAAACGAGGGCGTTGGACCCTTTTTTGCAAAATTAAAATTTCATGGAATTAATTAATTAAAAAGAAAAGGAGATGTTTTTGGTATTTTTTAGTATTTTAGGATTTAATATGAAAAAAAGAATTAATAAATACTAACCCTAATTCTATTTTTTTTTAATTTATTAAGAAAACATTAGAATTTAACCTAAATTAACCCTAATTTTTACATGCAAATTTAATTATAAAAATAAATATCTAATTATTTAATTATTTATGAAAGAAAAATAAAAAGGATGGAAATTAGTTAAACCCTAATTCTATGTTTTTTTTTAGATTTTTTTTTAAGAGAATTAAAACTAAAACCTAATTTAACTAAGTTTAATTATATACAATTTAATTACAAAAAATATTAAAACAAAAATATTTATTATATTTTTTCTTCTTTCTGATTTTTATGTGTTTTTTGGTTTTATGAAAATATAACTAAATTGACAGAATTAATTAAAAATAATAATTGAAAGTAAAAAATATAAAGAAAAAAAATAAAGAACAATTAAAGAGTTTGCAAACCTGGGGGTTCAGACCCCAAATAGGAGGTGAGGCCCTTAGCAATCTGGCCCATTTAGATTCTTGGCCTTGGAGACTTTTCCACTCACGTGCAGAAGCGTTGACTACAATTCATGGTATTGCGCAGTTCTTGGCTTTCTGATTGTTCTATTGGGACGCGTGGCCAGCTGATCATGAAGGAGTATGGTGGTATCCAGCGTTGGCTCTGCATGTGATTATCAATTGAAAAATAATATTGAGATAGTGAAGACCTGGGGCTCGAACCCAGGTCATGTACGTTGCCAACACTATGCCTTGCCACTGAACCAATTTACGCGTTTTGATTATTAAACAACTAACAAATATTATAAAAGAAAATAAAAGCGTTAGTGGACTTCGCGCGCGAACTTTCAAACCAGCCACCCATCGCTTGCCACGAGTTCATCTTCTTCGTTGGTTTTTTTATTTTCCTGAAATACAAACATCATGAGCAACGGTTTTCACATGTTCTCTTAGGCTAGCTTCTGAAAAATAGCGACTAGCCCTGTGACGCTCATAAATTGAGCGCGAGAGTCCCATTGTCTTCGTCCAAGTCCCCTGAATCCATTCCTGGCATCGTGGTTTGCTAATTTTACAAGACCAAGAAACCCCCAATTCGAAATCCTGTAAACCCTAAAAATTGACAATGGTATCTTGGCATACAGTGCGTAAAACTTCAATCAAAGCACACGATTAGCTTGAAAACATCATTACAAACACAAAAATAACAACAAAATATGTTAACAATGCATGTATGATAGAAACCGATTCAGAAATTTTCTTTACCAACTTCAATGGTGATCTTGTGTTTTCTTGAGTATGGGGCTTAGTTTTTTGATTGGAATATGTCCTATGATCCTTGAGGAAGCTAATGGAATAGGTTTTGAGGCTTGAATCGACCTGCAAGTTGGTTTTCAGTTATGGAGTTTTTTTGACAAATTTCAAGTTTTGGCTTTTCAGATTTTGAGCAGCTGCGTGGTCAATAGGATTAGGTTTTCGTTATATGCTTATGTATGAATAAATTAGGTCAACAATTCTGATCAAAATCTCTTGCAATGATGGCTTTTGAGATTTTATTTTCAAGCATTATTTTTCAATCTTTTTCCATGTGTTTTTGCTCTCAATCATATCAATTCTCTCCAAATCTTTCCATATTGGATCATGCACGAGTTATTGAGTGGATTTCATGCAAAAAAGGATTGTAAAACTTAGGTTAAATATTTTCCATGTATTTAATTTGATTTAAATGAATTATTATAAATAAAAATTCAAATAAATAAATAAAAAATTAAGAAATACTTCCCTTTGGGCCAAGTGGTCGTGCACATGCCATGGATGATGAATTATGGAAGAAAAATGGGCCCATTAGCAATTTTAGGTCATTTGAATC